GAGAAAGTATTAGTGTGGGAATATCTTATGTTGAATCTTTATCAAATGTTACATAATATAATTGACTAGCTTCCAGTTAGATATCAGGCAATGTTATAAATAATCATTAATTTATTACTTAGTATAGTACCCGTCATTTCAAATTTCCACGTAGTAAAGCGATAAACAAGTAAAATAAAAAACATAACCCGTTAATATAAATGCTATTAAGTATAAAGCAGTTTGCGAAACCTAACAATGTATTTATTTGATAATATCAATTATACAGGGTGATTACCGAGAAACGCATGTTTTTCAAATAACGAGTACTCAGGTAATTCAGAGCAAAAAATTTATTTATGAGTGGAAAAACAGTGTACACAATATGCAATTTCAGAATAAAATTACTTGCAATTTAGCATTTAAAAATTACATTTCTAACGTGGTGGTTAGAGAACATTGATAATTTTACGGGTCGCCTTCTGCTTCGATGCAGCGTTGGAGGTGTTCCTTAAAACTTTCTACGGAATTTGCTAACATATCTCTAGGAATGGCGTTGATTTCCTGGCGAATAGCTTCTTAAAGTTCCTGTATTGTTTTTGGTTTGTTTATGTAAACTCTAGATTTAAAAAATCCCCATAGAAAGAAATCTGGAATTTTAAGACCTGGTGAGCGCTCGGCCAAGTGACACCACCAAAACGTGGGATAACTCTTTTAGGTAATGTTCGCCGAAGGAATTCCATTCTAATGCGAGCTGTATGGACTGTTGTCCCATCTTGTTGGAACCATATGTCATTACGTACACGTTGATGGCGCAGTTCCGGCAAGAAATATTCTTCCAACATGTCTAGGTACCGTTGTGGAATAACTGGAGTCACTGTTTTGCCGTCGTGGCTAGGACTCTCTGAGCTGTTGCAAGGCGCACTCTTTCAACTGCCTCAGGGGTACGAACTGTCCTTGCCAGTCCAGGAGGTTTTCTCTTAAGCAGAGATCTAATTGAGTTTTACATTATGTATCCAACGCAATATCGTGTTACGATCAGGGGTAGCGCCATGCCGTGCAATGTTAAAATGTGTATGAAAGTCTCGCTGAGTCTGAGTGACTGATTCACCATTTGCGTAATATCGTCGCATGACAAACATACGATGCTCAAGGTCCCACATCTTGGCAAAAATTGAAACTGCACACTTCCCCCTACACATCGCAACAACTTCCGGCCGTCGTCGAACGATATTCCTTGTGTACTACGAAAGTCAAAAGCATGCGTTTCCCAGTAATCACCCTGTATTAAGCATGTTTTGTTGATGCGTGGTATATTAGTAGTCCTCAGTTTAAATCATACAGTTAAGAGTTCAGAGGAATCCTCTTTGTCTCGTGGTATTGTTCAAGCACGTTTGACAGTCAGAGCTTAGTTAGTATGTAAGGTATATGGTCTACAGACTACTCGCCAATTGTTACAGAGAAAACCCGCTGAATCCTTTAAAACCAACATGCTAAACATCGCGTTTTACAAAACTAGCATTAATATACTACGTGGGAACGAGAGTCACGTCAAAAATGCAACTGTTTTATTCAATCACGTTATACAGGGTCATGGTGGAAGTAAATATTTACTTCCACCATGATACAGGGTGTCCCACGATAGGTGTCTCAAATTGATTACGAAAAAAACTGCTTAGCGTACAAGGATGAAATAAAATTATTTCCCACTAAATTGACCCCAAGGAATAACGTTAAAATATTTGTAACTTTTTTCCTTTACAGGGTGTGCCAAAAACTGAGGGTCACTAGTTCAAACCTAGGAATTTTCAAATGTACACATATGTCATGTTGTACTTCATTTTAAAGGTATTTATTAGATGAACATTCAGGCGAAAACAGAAATTAATTGTCTTATTCCGTTACAAAATGGCGGCAGATTAAAAAAAAAAAATATTTTTTTAATACTCTGTACAATGCACTTAGCCCTTCTCCGGTTGAATTTTCTTACTTGTTATGAAATTAGCTTTACTCTGATATGCTACAAGTAAATGTTTTTAAAAATGTCAAAAATTTGAAAAGCAAATGCCATTGTTCAAAAATTTTCAAACAGAAACATATGTCAAAAGGCACATAATTTTATAGGTTTTTTTATTCTGATCAACTTTGTAATTTACACTTACTTCGTATCTCTTTTAGTTTTTGTGTAAATAACAAAAAACCTAATTTTCTTATTTCAAATGCATGTTATTTGGGTTTGACACAAAATTTCTTTTTCTGAAATGGGGCACATTTCCAGGGGTCACTTATTATGTGAGCTTACATAATCTGAATCATCATACAATACTATGATAGTTTCATCTGTAAGTCCCTTTTTTGTGCGTCCTAATGGGTTTAAATGTGAATTTTTAATTGAATGTAGCTTATTGTTCAGTTATTTTGTTTTCCCTTGCAAACAAGTGTTGATTTGTCTTACATGTGCAGTTTGCATTCGTGATATATTTACACCTACAGTAATTGGTTGTGCTAAAACAGTCTATATATTATTTACTTTAGTATTTACCACATTGGCTAGAAGACCATCGATTGTCAAGAAACTGTCAACTAGCATAGTTAAATCTGATATTTGTTCCTATTAGTTATTGTTTTATTTATAATAAACATTGAATCAAATTTATAGTACGGCTTTTAAAACTTGTTGTATAACGGTTATTATTTGAAGTTTTTGTATAAAACATATTTATTTATCTCTTCTTATTTATTTATTTATCGTAAATAAAATTTATAATATTAGTATTATTCAGAACACATAATGTATTGTTTGTTAAAAGGAAACGTAAAGTATAACAAATGTATTTATATACAAGTGACATAAGCGTTGACTGCTGTAAAACATACGTGTAACAGTTTATCTCAACCGTCTGCCTTTGAGGCACCAATCGAATCAACCGCTTCATTGAGCGCGTCAGGGGTGAGAAAACTATTCCCTCCCTTACAACCGGGATTTTGTGGTTAGGGTTGTATAGAAACTGCAGACATTTGGCTGCCACGGGTAAGGAAAATAAGAATTTTGTCAATCAAATGTTAATAGCTTAGTATTAAACAAATATTGCCAATTCGATCAAGATACCTATATAAACAAGTGCACAGCAAAAGTTTACTTATTCTCAATACCAATAACATATGAAACCATTATTCTTATTGAAATTTTCTCTGTAATCATTAAGTGTACAACAACGCTTCAGTATACTGAAATTTTTTTGTTACTATTCAAAAAGGAATCAGAATGAAAGTAATGTTCTGATGATAAAAAATGGGAATCTCCAAATGTAACTCCATAAAGCATACTAAGAATGATCTTAATGGTCATAATCTTTATGCCATTGTTGTAAAAATATTATCACTCATTACAACAACCGTATTTCTATATTGTATACGTATCTTCGTACAAAACATTTATTCCATTATTATTTGCCTCTTGCTGAGACAGTAGGCCAATCTTCCTGTGAAAATGAACTGTAGAACTTCATTTCCCTAGAGATCTCTTTCCCTAGAGACACAGTGATCCAAAGTAACCTTAGTATTTTTCATATAAAATTCTATGCAATATTAATAAACGCTCAACGTTGGTCAATTTTACAGTGAACACCATTTGGGAAAGAATATAATATTTGCCCTGAATTACCGTGAAATATTTTTTTTATAATAGATATTAGGAGAATCAATTTTAATCCTTTATCACAGGATACCTACACCGAGTCAGTTTAGTATATTTTAAAGTGCCGAAAATATATTTGGTTAGTTCCAGTAAAATATTATATCCATTATATGCTAAAATCTATTCTTAACATTGTGAGAAGTTTTACACAGTGGTAACATATGGTTAACACAGCCTTGTGTATATCCTTGGCTTGATGAAGGTCTTAATATTATACCTTTTGCTAAAAATGAACAAAAGATCTGAAGTTGTAAGATATATCACGTGTGTGTAACGAACGTGACATATTGGGAACGTAGAGGAGTAGCTCATGGGAGGATATAAAGCTGCCGAAGCTGTTTATTGCTGATGAACCAGACGTGTTCTGGACGAAGCCTCAAGGCTCAGCTCCACTTGAGTAGATGAAGTATGTTTTGCCTCCAGTTTAAGCCCTTATGCTTTATTTCCAGACATTTAAGTATTATTTTTACGTTAATAGACCAATCAGTTATTATATTTGGACACTGTATAAGTCAAGTTAAATTTTCACTCGACAAGACTCTTGTTTTCATGCTAACATAAAAACATATAAATAATCAACCAGTAAAAATACTTCCTTTAAGTATAAAAGAATACTTACAAGAATAGTATTTATATAATTTATTATGTCAGCAATAAACAAATTACCTTTATGTTAATCATTCTACCTACAGATTATACTTAACAAATCAATACACTAGGTAATAATGTAAAGCAAACAATCTGATATCTTATTCGTCTTAAGGACCACTGTGGGCTAAATAATTTATGAATAAGCCTATACGAAAAAGAGATACAAATTTTTTCTTTGCCTTAAGTTTAATATCACAACCTGCATAATAAATATGCATTGAAACACCTGAAAACTACTCCTCATTCAAAACTCGTATTGAATTAAGATTGGCGTCACACATGAATTTATTAGGAAACAAATTTTGAAAAGTGTTGTAACCAAACAAATGTAAACACTACTAAGATCTAAACAAAGATGATTATAATTTAAAATGTATGAATCCAACTAAAAGCTTGAATTTTTTGTAGAGAATGAAATTAAATGAAGATTATAAGATGAGAAAAAAATGAACACACTTTTGGGATAGGAGAACAAGCACTGTTTTTATTTACTTTTTGATACACAACATGTGTTAGCAATAGAGAATAATTTAATTTGATTAAGAACACATGTTAGTTGCAAGGAAAAGAGATGTACATTAAATAAAACATAGAGTGTTAAATAATATGAATGGTTAAAGTTTACTGAACATACCGGGGGCCTTGAATCCCCAGTGGATTCAACAAAAACAGTTCACGAATCCACAGTTGGCAGGGGAAACACTTTGTGGGCAGATCTTCTGAGGTTGCCACTTGATGTTTTTAAGTCTATCACTCGCACAACCCCATCAGCCCCTGGATGAACTGCTGTAATTCGAGCGAGAGGCCACGAGAGAGGTGGTGAGTCCATATGTACCAAAACAAGGTCACCCACTTCAAGATTTTTTGATTTCCGAGTCCACTTGGTACGTTGTTGCAAGTTGTTTAAGTATTCTAGGTGCCATCTATGCCATATGCGTTGATGAAATGCTTGAACTAGCTGCCATTGCTTGAGACGGTTTTCAGGAACTGTCAGGAGATTAGGTTCAGGTACTGCTGTGAGGGGTGCACCAATCAGGAAGTGTCCGGGAGTCAGTGCTGCGAGATCCGAAGGATCATTTGAAAGAGGTGTCAGTGGTCGGGAATTGAGCATTGCTTCGATTTGGGTCAACAATGTGATGAATTCAATGAGTGTTAAGACTGAGTTTCCCATTACTCGACGGAGATAATGTTTCACATTCTTTACAGACGATTCCCACAATCCTCCTTGATGCGGAGCGGCTGGTGGATTAAAATGAAAATTGATGCCTTTAAGTGAAGAGAATCGTTGAATCTTCCGTTTGGAGTCTTGACAATAAAGAGATTTTTCAACAATCTTGCTTAGGGTAGAGTCAGCACCAATGAAGTTGGACCCACAATCCGAGTAAATGTCGGAAGAATGTCCTCTGCGAGATACAAATCGAGTCATTGCAGCAATGAAAGATTCAGTCGTTAGGTCTGTTACTACTTCCAAATGTACAGCTTTCGTGACGAGGCAGATGAAAGTACAAAAGTATGACTTTATGTGTCTCACTGCCTTGAGGTTGAAGATTTTTACAGTAAAAGGTCCTGCATAATCTATGCCGGTGTGGAGGAAAGGTCGAGCAGGAGTTACACGAGACTGAGGGAGATCAGCCATGAGAGGACACACATTTCTAGGTTTGACTTTGAAACATCTGACACATTTATGGATACGAGAGCGTATGGCACAACGGGCAGACAGTATCCAAACATGTTTGTAAAGTAATGCTTGAGTAAGCTGAGGGCCTGAATGAAGATTGTAGATATGGTAGTGGTCAATGAGAAGATTTACCACATGATGCTTTTTTGGCAGAATAATGGGATGTCGAGCATCTTCAGGAAGTGATGTCTGAGAAAGACGTCCTCCAACACGCAATAATCCAAATGAGTCAATGAAAGGTGAAAGACGTTGTAAACGAGTGGAGCAAAATGATTTCCGTTTGAGGCAGTTGATTTCTTCTGTGAATACTTCTTTTTGTACAAGTTTAAAAATGTGATATTTTGTGTCTTTCAGTTCCTGTGTTGAGATGAAACCTTGGCGTTTTTCAGAATCTTTACAGTTGTGTATGAAACGAAGGACGTAAGCAAAAATCCTAAGAAGTCGTTCCCATGAAGAATATTTAATGAGAAGATTGGTCAGCGTAGATTCAGTGGTAGTTGACACAAGTACAGTTAGAGGAGTGTGTTTTACTTCATCTAATGTTGAGATATCTGTAGGTGAAAAAGTTACATCAGGCCAGTTTGAAGGGGGAAGAGAAAGCCAAGAAGGCCCTGACCACCAAAGGGGGTGAGACACAAGCTCAGTGGCTAGAATACCTCTTGAAGCACAATCAGCAGGGTTTTCCTTGCTAGGGATGTAACGCCAACAGTGATAGGGGACAAGTTCTTGTGTTTGGGCGACTCTGTTAGCCACGAATGTTTTCAGCCTGTAAGATGGAGTTTGAAGCCATGTCAAGGTTACTGAAGAATCACACCACAAATAACATTGGTTGAGTGAAATTAAGGGTTTGAATGAAGAACAACAGAAGTTTACGAGTTGAGCTAATAAGTGGGCAGCGCAGAGTTCTAATCGTGGAAGAGTCACCTTCTTGAGAGGGGCGACTCTAGTTTTGATAAAACCATACGTGTAGTCACTTCTCCGTTGGGTTGGGAACATCGTACATAGACAACAGCTGAAAACCCACGTTCAGAGGCGTCTGAGAAGCCGTGAAGTTCAACACTAGAATTTGGAGAGATTTTCAATGCTCTAGGGATCTGAATGTCTGCAAGTGCTGGTATCGCTGAGATAAAGTTACTCCAAATTGCACTAAGTTCTGGAGTGAGAGGTTCATCCCATTGTAGACCGGTCGTCCAGAGAAGTTGAATAAAACATTTCGCTGTCATAGTACATGGGCTAAGAAATCCACAAGGATCGTATATTTTAGCGACTAGACTGAGAACGTGACGTTTAGTTAGTGTTTTTGGCGGTAGGTTGAGATGAAATGAAAAATTGTCCGAGTCTGGAGACCAGTGTAGGCCAAGAATTGAGAAATGGGGATCAGGTGTATTTTCAAGAAAGACTGGAGAGTCTTTATGAGTGTCTGGAAGAGACTGAAGAAGCTCGGGAGAATTTGAAGTCCATTTTCGAAGTTCAAAGTGTCCACGGTTGAGTAGTTGAATGAGTTGATTTTGAAGGTTCTTTGCTTCATCTACCGTGTCTGCTCCAGTTACAATGTCGTCTACGTAAGTCTGAGTGCGCAAGACATTTGCTGCTTCAGGGAAGTCTTTACCTTCGTCTTCAGCTAACTGGTGGAGGGTACGAATCGCTAAGTAGGGTGAGCTATTTACTCCAAAAGTCACTCGAGTGAGTTTGTATGTGGATATATCTTCAGAGGGATTGTCACGCCACAAGACGAGTTGGAACAGTTGATCGGAAGGTTTGATTAAGATTTGAAGATACATTTGGCGAATATCGCAAGTGAAAACGATATTGTGTATTCTGAAATGTAGCAATATATCACAAATGTTGGTCTGTAATTTAGGGCCGGTCATGAGAGAATCATTGAGGGAAATTCCAGAGCTGGTTTTGCAGCTTGCATCATAAACGATTCGGAGTTTAGTTGAGGTACTGGATGGTTTCACAACTGCATGGTGTGGCAAGAAATAGTGAGGAGAGTTGATATCTAGATGAGGTAGTTTTACCATATGACCTTGAGAGATGTGTTCATTTATATTGTCAGAGTAAGCTTTATACAAATCAGGAGAGAGTGTAAAACGTCGTTCAAGTGAGTGAAAACGTCGTTCTGCGATGAGTTTGGAAGATCCTAAAGGTGGATGATTTTCTTTAAATGGTAGCTGAACTAAGTAACGGCCATTTTCGTCCCTAGAGTGGGTAGCTTTAAACAGATCTTCACACTGTTGCTCTTCAACCGATATCTTTGAGGGTACAGATAATTCCTCTAATTTCCAAAATTTCTGTAGAGAGTTATGCAATTCGTTGTCAACCGTTGAGAGCAGAGAGATGGATGGAGTGTTGGCAGGCTGGGAATCGGTTGAACAAGGTGCATTCCCCATAACAACAAAGCCAAAGTGAGTTCCCATCATGTTAGGCATGTTAGGGCCGAGAGAATAGTTTTCATTCGTTAAAAGAAGAGGGAAGAGAGAAGCTCCGATCAGCATGTCAATGGGCCCTGATAAGTGGAAGCTGGGATCAGCAAGGGGGTAAGGTTTTACTTTCAATAGAACTCTTTGTGATATTTGAGATCTAGGGAGATTGACAGATATTTTATCAAGTATGTGCACTTCATGGTTGGATGCAACTAATTTTCCTGCCAGTGTGTTAACAGTGAGGTTCACAATACCCTTTGTGAGAGTTGGAGATTGAGAAAGACCAACTACTTGTAAGTTGGATTTGAAACGAGGTGCATTCAGTAGTTGAGCAGCTTTTTCACTAATAAAATCACACATGCTGCCACTATCAATCAATGCTCTGAACACATGAGAAACGTTATTTTGAGCAGTAACTTTAACCAGTGTTGTGCCTAAAATTACAGTTTTAGGGATTTGATTAGCAGGACTGGCTTCCTGTGAGCAAAGAGATACGGTAGGTTTTTCATTCGAAACATGAGTGGTTGATGGTTGTGATGATGTAGAACCTTGAGATGTCTTGTCATGTTCAAAATGAAGTAAGGTGTGATGACGTTTGTGGCATTTGAAGCAAGATGCTTTAGACTTACATGCCTTAACATCATGTTTTCCGAGGCAAGAGACACATCTGTTGTTGTCCTTTACGGTTTTAAAACGTTCATTTGAAGAAAGAGAGAGAAAGCTAGGACAAGCATAAACCTTGTGGCCGGTTGATGAGCAGACAAAGCAGGGAAATGAGAAAGGATTTTTTGAGTTGTCTTGATTTGATGGAGTTGGAGTAGAGACCATTGTAACTTTCTGAGCTTGAATGAAAGAGGGCTTGGATGTGAAAGATTTGGGTTTAAAATTTGAATTGTGGTTGTTCGTACTTTGAGCAAACTTGGTATGTAACACAGCGTCTTCCATTTGGTTACACTCTTGATTAAGAAACTTGACTATTTCGACTACTTCTGGTAGAGAATGTGTTTCGCATTTTATATTAATTCTAAAAGCCTCTAGTTGTTTTAGAAGGTCATTGTCTAGTTTTCGTAAGAGTATGGTGGACAACAGAGGGTTAGAGTTAGAAGTAATGTCACAGTCAAGAGCTTTAAGTGCTTCTGTGTGTTCATAAAACAAGTTGAGGAACGTTCTGAGACATTTGTTTGAGGTAGAGGAAATGTCCGGTAGGTCGATCAGTTTGTTTAGGTGAAGTGTAGTTAACCTTCGGGTGTTGTGGTATCTGTCTCTGAGGAGCTGATAGGCAATTGAGTAATTGGCTGAAGTGATACTGAAAGCTTTTACGAGATTTAGTGGTTCATTTTTGAGCACGCTGAGAAGATATTGAAATTTAGTGACGTTTGAAATGCTTTCATTCAGATGGATGCTAGTGTCAAATAAGTTGATGAAACTTACCCACTGTAGAGGAGAACCATCAAACGTGATGAGGTCTAGTTTTGGGAGTCTTACGTGAGCAGATGATGAAGCTGAGATGTCACTAATTCTTGTTGAATCTTTACTTTCTTCTGGAACATCTTGCGGCTGCTGTTGGAGAAGGGCTTCAATCCGAGACTTGGCTTCGACGAATAGCAGTCGCAGTTTGTCTTCAGTGTCACTTACTGCATCCAAATCTAATTCTTCTGATATATGTTCCAAGGCTCTTTCCAGGTAATTTTCATAGGCTTCATGTTTCTTTTCTAACTGGTTCGAGAAGTTGTTTAAAGTTCTGATTTGTATCACTGACAAGATTGAGGGGGAAAGTGTTTCAAGCTCTTGTACAGATTTGAGAATCTTTTCAAAAGAATTTTGTATGAGAAGGGTTGATTTGTTGAAGTTTGAGAGTGAAATTGATCTGGTAGCCATATTGGACAAAACAGATGGAGTGAAACTTTACTAAGAATTAGATAGAGTTTGTGACACTATGAGAGTGGGGAGAAACATAAAGAGATTGAATGATAAAATAAAGATATTTCGATAGCTTGAAAGTGTTCTGAAAATTGAATCCAAAGACTGAAATTCAAAATCCAGGCTCGATTAGGACCAATGAATTTTTTGTAGAGAATGAAATTAAATGAAGATTATAAGATGAGAAAAAAATGAACACACTTTTGGGATAGGAGAACAAGCACTGTTTTTATTTACTTTTTGATACACAACATGTGTTAGCAATAGAGAATAATTTAATTTGATTAAGAACACATGTTAGTTGCAAGGAAAAGAGATGTACATTAAATAAAACATAAAGTGTTAAATAATATGAATGGTTAAAGTTTACTGAACAAAGCTGAAAGAGTTTCTTATCATAGCATGCTAAAACACCTACGTCAAAACAAATTGTATTCTTTCAACGATCGCAAAACAAATCTTAAAAGTAAAAGTGGTTTTTACCAAAGAAATTCCCTGCAGTGTAATAAATATCCGTACCGTCAAAAGTTGGAAACAAAGTTAATCAAACTACTCTTGCAGGTGTAAAGCAAGATATAGTTTTGATACCTATGTTATTCGGACTAAATATATGATCACATTCACTTAAGCACTGCAAACATATTAATGCAAAACCTTTTGCGTTATTTTTTCTTATCTAGCACTTAATAAAATAATGTCCACAGCCTCCTGATAATGGGAAGCTATTGTGACCCTCAACTCACAAAATAGGCGAACACTCTTTGAAAACAATATCCTATACGAAGACTAACGTATACTACAAGGGAAACTGTCCCTTTCATGAGCAACTTACGACTACTGGAACAATAAAGGAAAATCCAGAACCTGCTTAGGTGGTACTTCAAGATATCAGAAACTGCAAATCTTTGTTTTATTATTTCACTTTGTTTATTATGTAAGAGTGAGTTAATAAAAAAAAAGTATTTATAACCAACATGGGCTGAGCAAAATTTAGAATATATTACTTAAAATTCCGTTTTAAATCATTATGTTTGAACCTTGTATATTAGTTTCAGGATGGCAATTAGCCTACGTTTTCGCCAATTATTAACCTTCTTGATATGCTATTTTAATCAATGTTCTGAATGGTAAGTTTTAATTAGTTGAAACGTTTTCTCTCGAATGTAAACATTTTACATTTTCAAATAACTCATTGTACGGACATACAATTATATTGGCTCGAATTTAAATTAATAACTACAGTTTTCAGTTTGAAAATGGTTAATCATCAAAAATAATTTCAGAAATCGTTTTCGTAATAACTTATTTTGTTATAAATTAACACTGCTGTTATATTTGTAATTAATAGAAAGGGATTCCAGTAATTTCAGTTTATCATGCTTATTGCAGCATTACAATTAATGGAGACCACGAGATCATATCAATAATGCTGTTGCGGTGAATTGTCTGTATCATAATCCCCTGGGGACAATACAGGTGTCACCGTTGGCATATTAATTGAGATAGTATTTCAGTGATATATTGGGAAGTTTTGAAATATATTATCACTTTCATAGTTTATGACTGTAAAAATTGAACGGAATCGTCTAATTTTAAACAATAAAGATTTTTTATATATTTATGAAACAAAATATGTTAAGTTTGGTCATAATTTAACATTAAATAAGCGATTTTTTTATTTTGCTCTACACTATGTCATAAAAAGATGTTCATAATACAATAGTTTCTTTTTTCGCGTGAGTATTTCAAATTGTATTTCCTCGCATCCACAAACTCGTTGACTTTAATTAGTTTTTAAGTGAGGTCGAAAACTGCAAAAATGTTAGTTTTACTATTAAATAAAACCTTACAAAAATGTTCAAAGCTATGATTCAATGACATATATATTTGTATGAGAGTCCATTATCGACTCTCTAGTAGTTCTATATCTCAAATAACTATAATGTTCTCACTACATACTTAGACACTGTTTTGTTTACAAGTGATAAGCACAACCTGTTCTTTTTTATAGATTTTCCAGACAGTTCCTTAACATGATACATTTTTACTAACTGGTAGTCACCCAAAATGACAATCTGAGCCACTTATTCATTTTTTATTTCTAGCTTTGAATACAATCTATTGAGATTTTTAGGTGTGTATTATCTTCAGAATGGAGGCAGATTTATTCTGATAGCCAGAGGTTTCTACACAATAGCCAGCTTCAGATAAAACCCAGACGTTATACTGAATCCCAACCTGAATACAACTTTTGTTTGCCTGAATATTATTTCGATAATACAAAGAATTAAATATATCAATACCTAATGTACTGCTTCCTATTGCTTTGTTATATTTTTCATCTAGATATCCGAATCAATTACAGATAGTTTATTTTGTGAGAATGCGAAAAAAGAAATACTGTTTTATTGTTTTCAAAGTAACACAAAAATAAACTTAAAAGTACTAAACATATTTTTGAGTTATAATTTTTTCAATTATAGAGGGAGTAAGTAAATCGACCAAAATACCTTTTAGCAAATTTACAATATAGGGAATAAGCATAATGAGTGAAGGTCTCATGGTAAGATACCCCCCCCCCCCTCAGAGACCAAAACACTACACATTCAAAATGATCCCTACAATCAATTGATTTATATGGCTAAAGTTTATTGCTGACCCAGATTTGCTACAAATAAATAAATTTTAATTGCCAGTGCATACTAATAAACAAATACATGTTGATTATTTACTACAACCATTTCATCATTGTGAGAAACTGTACAGCATGCAATAATTTGAAATTCATACTCTATTTTTATGCCAAATGTATAATAAAGTATAACAATATGATCAGTATGATCTCCACCACATATTGATTGGACAGTTTGGTTGTTTGCAATGGTTCCTTTGAAACTTGTATTAAATTTACACATTAAATGAATAAAATATTCGTTATTAGGTGACATAGTTACCCCTGAGTAGTGACATATAAGACACTTCTTCTTCTTATAACAATTTGGTTTAAAAAACTGTTACGATTTTGGTTTGTCCTATTTGTTTTGATGAGGTGTAGTTACTTGAGAAGATCGGTGGGGATGGAGTGGTAGCAGAACTACGTGAGATAAGTGATGACATTAAGACTAATTTCATTAAAACTACTCTAACAAACAGAAATTTAGAGACCTATGCTCATTTTACAGACTTCACTGTTACTAATATTATACTAAGAGCTCCACCTTTTACAACGAAAGAGCTTCCTAACAATATTTAAATCATCTCCAAACCCGGATACTGTGAATTGCGTAAGCCTAAGAACAGCTCACTACTGCGTAATAATAGTCGTTTGTGAAGTTTCCACAAATGGTTAAGTAAATTGGACACTCTTGTATAGAACTGAACGAAGCACTTGTATCTGACCTGTTTGTATCAAGACTGTGTGAAGGTAATGTGCACTTGGGTACTTGTCTGGAAACAATCGAGCTATCGGTAAACACTTTGAACCACTTCCTTTATGTCTGATCATTGTAAGTGCTTTCTACTCTGCTCTATCTGTTTCTAGTGTTGCTCTCAAAAACGCTTAACACGCCTTGAGAGTTTTAAAGTTCTAAATATAAACCTAAATATACTTGTGGACAGTTTAAACTAAAATTATACCCTATGTTGATAGGAGGGTCTAATCCGGTTTTAGTCTGGCTCCAACTTATCATCAATGTATTGCGACACATGTACAAATCTTAAACTGGATTGTTAAATGTGGGTTCTTTTTAAATCAGTAAAATCCTCCGTCAAAGTACAAATTTGCGTCAACGAATTATTTGTTTCTCAGTATACAACTCTTTGTGATTAAATTAATTTAATTTAGATTTAATTATTAATATAGCAATCTAAGTAGGTCATTGTGTTTAAAATTCAGAATACTTTTTAAATAAATTAATATTAGATTTTCCAACTTTCGTGTATTTATTTTGGGTTACAGAGGATCGGACTTTAGATATAGAGTACATTGATCAATGATCTGTGTTAAAGTTTTTTTGCATCTTTTAAAAAGGTAATTTTCGAGTAAGGTAATAGTTACACATTCTTTTGAACTGTAACGATATTTCATGTTGTCAAGATTGAAGAAATCGTTCTTGAAGTTCTGTTGTATATTTAGCGGTACTGGAAAAATAAAAAAAATTATATTAAATTTGTTGAATTGTAAGTTTCAATTTACTGTTCCTGTAGTTTACTTTACATTTATGAATTAAAGGTAATTTTAAAGAATCGTGAACTTATATGTTCGTTAACTATAGCAACGACATGATAATCCCCACGGATCACCGAGGTGTCATTGCTCAGGACAGATTATATCACATTCATCAGGCTGAGCTCCGATTCACCAAGTTCTCCTCGTAGTAATCGATATTTTTTCATCATGATTTGTAAAGCACTGCTAGCATTGTTGCATTGTTAGCTTTGTGTTAGTATTGTTAGTGTTAAATTAGAGTATATTCCTTTCTTTAACGACTAGATACAATACGTCCTAATGGACTTATTTTTTCAAGACTAGCTAAACAGCTAAATATTTCCATTGTTGAATTTAAAATGACCATCATTTTAAATTCATTTTATTAACGATAGCGAAAGCCAATTATACGTAAAACAGAGAATTTTAAAGTATAATGTTTTTCAAAGTATTCGGGGAGAAAGGATACACATGATTAGTGAAACTTAACCAACTTGCTACAAAGCTAAATCCAGTTATATAGAGAAAATAGCATTAAAATCGTTAAACCAAACAAAGTTAGGGGGAAACTGCAAATTTTTCAATTATAACAAGGAAATGTCACCCCAAATGGATAAGCGAAATTTAGCAGAATGCATTCAATTCGGGAAACATAATAGTGGAAATTTTATGATATTTATAAAAAACCATTTTCTAATGTTTTGATTAAAATGTATTGACAGACCAATATTATAAGTGATTCGATTTCTAT